CTTATCCTTTACTACTCTTTTATTGCAAATTCCAGACTCTTCTTTTAGGGCTCACAATTTTGATGCTTCTTTGATCGTTACACTGTTTTATATAATCTACCTTTCCCGCAAAAGCTTTAGATTCTTTTCTCCCCTTTTACTTCAGTTTTTGCCTTAAAGGCAACTCCTTTGTACTGTTGAACACAGAATACAATGAGCCTCTTATTTGAAAATCCTCTTTTTCCTTAATGATGCTTTCTTTTCTAAATATGTTTGCACAAAATATGTTTCACTTCCTTTTATGGCATTGGTTCCATGCAAAAATTCAGAGATTACATGAATAAGGCACCTTTCTTGTTACAATTTATAATTGATATAAATTTTAGGCCCTAATAGCCTTGGATCAAACATAACCTAGAGCTTCAGTTATGAACAATTATGTTTTCCACTTATTTTGAGTGGTAAATTAATGTTTCTAATATACTTAACTCACTAATGTCAACTTCCTACTTTTCTCTAAAAATACAAGAAATAAATATGGGCTTAAAATTCCTACCTAGTTCTCTCAGGTAATTTCCTTAAATCACTTCTTTGTGTGGTTGCTAAAATAAATAGGAAGTTCTTGGACATTAAAAACTTTCCTTCCACTCTTTAAACAATAGCATGGCCTCAGTTACAAGGGACCAAATATATTTATTGGTTTCACAGCTAACCATTGTTTATTGGTAAACTTTGTCCCCAAGTTTTTTCAGCAACTTTTTCTCCTGGGCTTCCCATGAAAACTTAATAAATCCAAACAACTCAGTAACTTCAATTATGCAAATAGACTATGGATGTTATAAATCAGGAATGAACATCTGTACTGAATAATTCTCAATTCTCACCCCTTTCTTGTCACTAACTGGCTTTGGTGCCAGGACCTTGGCTTATATTTAGCCATGATTTCTGTATGGCAATAGCTTGTTTCAAAAGTTGATAACACAAATTAAGCTAGAATTGCCAGATTAGAATATAATGAAATTTTATACAGTCCAGAAACTTTAAATCAAATCTGATGTCTTATAAAAGAGAGCAGACTGAAATAATTTAAATTATTGGTATGATATTTCCTTGTCTCAACTTCTTCCTGTTCTTTTCAGGCCTTAATGAACAGTGAACGCTTTTACATAAAGAGATATCGCTCTTCCTTTGTTCTTTAGAATCACATATTTAAACAATCATTTCCTTAATTTGCTCTGCTCATTTTTTTAACATCTTGCAGCTAACAGAGTTTGCTCTATCAAAAGTCATTATCTACATTGCTCTAAGAAAAAAGTCATTATGTACATTGCTCCTCCTTGGTATCTTTAATTCATGGGTGTACAACTATTTTCAATCTAAGGACAGATTTAATGTATTGAGCAATAAATATGTCAAGACTTGCTCTCTAAAGTAAACATATTTTAGAACTTTTTTATTCTTTATTTTTATTATTTAATCTCCATTTAATGGACCAATTTAGGACAAAAGAGAATCTCTTTTTCCTGATTGTCCATTAAATCAGACACTGCTTATCCATTAAATCAGATGAATGCAGCAATCCATATCAATTGTATTATGCCAATCTGGAAACTGACAGGTATTTAAAGGTGGATGATCTATCTAGTCATTGCTGCAGAAATCTGGTCTGGTCCATGAAAATATGTTGTACTGATACCAAAAAACTAAAGTTAAGCTGTACTTTATTTTCTTTATTCTTCATTCCTCTACATCAGGGGTGTGAAAATTGCGGTCTGCGAATTGGATCCGCCACATGCCCATCTGGTTTAGTGAAGGGGAAAAAAGTCCCAATACGTCACGTGACGCCACAAGTTTGAAACCCCTGTTCTACATTCACAAATGCAGATAAATCCATTACAATTCTGATATTAAAATAATACACGCAGATGGTCTTCAAATCAAAACTATTTGAAGGTACAGTGGCACTGAAAAACTGACTTATAACTGCTTCTCACATTTATGACCATTTCAGCATTTCCTGATCACATGCTCAAAATTCAGACACTTGGCAATCAACATGTATTAATGGTGGCTACAGCATCCGCAGGTCATATGGTAGCCATTTGTGAACTTCTGGGAAGCAAAGTCAATGGGGGAAATTGTATTTGACTGTGAATCACTTAATTGCTTAACAACATTCCAAAAGAGTCATAAAATCAGAGGTGAGTCACTTAATTACTGCCTACCTTAGCACCAGAAATTCTGATTTCAATTGTGGATGCAAATCAAAGATTACAGGTACTCTTGTTTCTTTTTTATGTGATTGTCAAACACTAGATCACATAGTCACTAGCTGCCACTTGAGAATTTACACAGTAGGAAAAGCAGACTTTCTTCAACTAAACAAATATTGTGCTCAATTGGATAAATATATATAACTACTATTATGAATCAACTTTTTAAAAAATGTAATCTATAACATATAATTTCTTGAATTCCTCAAACCTCACAGAATTGACTACATACAATACAGTGGTGGGATTCATTTTTTTACTACCAGTTCTGTGGGTGTGGCTTGGTGGGGAAAGATACTGTAAAATTTCCAGTCAGAGGTGGTATTTGCTAGGTCCCTGAATTACTCAAAATTTCCGCTACGGGTTCTCCAGAACTGGTCAGAACTTGCTGAATACCACTTCTGATACAGTATTTCCATCATATGCGTATAATAGCATTATGTCCTCCTTTTTATAATTTTATTACTGTTATCCATGTGCTCTATGCCACATGTAAATAAATAAATGAATACAAACAATCTTGTAAGTAACCTTTTAATGATTTACATCTTTTTCTGTGTGTTCATGTGTGTGTTTGTTTGTGTGTTGGTTCTTTTCCTTAGAGAGCTATCTCCATTTTCTCCACCAACTTTAGCATGATATAACATTATATTCATTGCATAATGACAAGATGCATCTCTTTAACAAGGACAAAGAAAACAGGCAAGTTCTGACAAGGCAACTGTTAAAAGTTTTAACACTCTGACAGTTCTTTTATTTGTCTCCTTCCTGCTTCTTCCAAATTTATTTCTGAGAATATGGAATAAAGCATAAAACAGCGAAGATCTGATGTCAAGTCCAAGCAAAAGCCACATTTCTTTCCCTGCTCTTTGAGGAGAAAAGGTTATAATCTAGATTAGTAATTAGTAATTGGTATTCTGGATTTTTTTGAAAAAAGTTTGAATGAATTTGATATATGAAATCCTTGCATATGAAACAAATTGACAAGGTTAAACATATTAAATATCTACTTGATTGCAGAACCACTTCTGAGAAATAGTCACATTAATTCGGGTCTGGTAAAGGGAAAGTTTTTATAAACCTATTATTCTATAATGGTTAGCTAAAAGATCCTTTAAACTAATTGTTTTGGCCAAAAAAGACAAGCATTTATTATAGAAGATTAATAATGTGCTTTTTAGTAGTTTACAGACTGAAAATATCAAGAAAAAGCAGAGAAATTCATGTTTGTACTTCCTAACTTTCTAAATGGTAAAGTGATGTCGGACATTCTCCTGTATTGAAATATTTTGCCAAAAATAAGGTTATCTCCAAAAAGCAAGACTTTTTGTCTTGCTTTTTTATTTGTCTTTGTGATTAATAATTTGAAAATAGTTATTTCAGAATTCCACTTTTAATTTTTTTTAACATGATCATGCTTATGAAAATGTTGACTGAATTGATTCAAATGACTAAGAAGCAATTTACCATCCTCATATCTATTGGCTTCCTCTGTAATCAATTTTTCATTTTAGTCTTAAAGTTTCTGCTGCTACTTTCAAATATGGTTCACATGCAAATAATTTTAAAATACCCACCAATTGAGCATATCTATGCCATTAGGGCATTAATGTTATTTTTTTGTTTGTCTGGGTGAGACTTACAATTGCTCTCACATAAGCAAAAATATTCATTAGTTGTCACCTCCAAATTGTTAATTGAAGTACAACAGTTAATCACCACAACAAAAATTGATATTAATTACTAATGCTTAACATTATTTTCATCAAAGCATTCTTCTGTACGGCATAGATCTCATTAGAGTAAGAATTTTACATATAAAACTGTAGATCGGAAAATTATATCAAGTGAAAAGTACCATGAGCTTTATGTAAGTTGCCATGTGCCAACCCTTCAAGTTAGCCAAATCAAGAAATGGATACCACAGAGTCCTGTAATGCTACTTTATTTAGAGTCCTGTAATGCTACTTTATACTTTATTGTTATTATACTTTTAGAGCATAATAACAGAATCTTGAAAGCTTGTCCAAGTTTGTCTGTCTCTTATTGTGCTAAATAAAATCAGGACAGTGATTAGAATGCAGTAGCACAGGCTATTTCTGCTGACTGCCAGCACTTCGTTAGTTCAAATCTCACCGGCTCAAGGTTGACTCAGCCTTCCATCCTTCTGAGGTTGGTAAAATGAGGACCCAGATTGTTGGGGGCAATATGCTGACTCTGTAACTCGCTTAGTAGGGCTCTAAGTGTTATTACTATTGCTATTTGCTTTCATCTCTGTACTGTATATTATAGTCTTGCTTAACAACCATTCAAAGTTATGACAGACTACAAAAAAAAGCTACTACCTGTCCTCAAAGTTACAACTGCTACTCCCTCCCTCCCCCATGGTTATATGACTGCATCTTGGTGCAACTGGCTCACATTTATGAGAGTTGGTCACATGACCACAATTTGTAACATTTTTGTTGTTTTACAACAAGAAAAACCATTCCCATCTATGAGATATGTTGGATTCACTTAATGACCATGTGGCTCACTTAATGAATGCAGGGACTTGCTTTATAAGAATCACAAAAATAGTAAAATTGAGTCAGATCACATGATGACTTGCTTAATAACTTTACTTATGACCAATATTCTGGGTTGAGTTGTGATTGTAAGTGGAGGATTACTGGTACTATTTTCTGAAAGTTTCTCCTTAATGGTTCGTATTTCCACCAAGGTCATCTTTAAATTCCTTTACATTACCTGATAATCGAATTTGATCCCTCTTCTTCAAGATTTTGATCTCATCATCAAACTAGAATATGCATTATAATTATGCAATCACAGAATTCACTTAAATGAATTTTGTGTGCTTAACTGCATGAATAATTGCATGTTGGAACATATTATTTATTTATATCCTGCCATTATTATTTTTATAATCATTTTATTTATTTTTATAAACTCAGGACAATGGACATTCCTAATGCGCATGTGTTTTTGGATGCTATATGGCCACTTTCACCATGCACTTTCAATGTATGTATCTATTTTTTAAAAATCTCTTTAAGTTTCCTTAATCATCATTATCATAAAGGTTTGTAACTGAAAATTTGCAACTAATCTAGCATATTTGAATTTAATAGTTTATTATCAGGAATTCTGATAGCTTTATTTTTATTTTGTTTCAAACAAAGAAAATAACAATTACAGAAACACACAATTACTTTGTCTCTTCCAATTTACATTCCAAATGAGTTTAAGTAAACCTATCTTAGCCAAAGAGTTATGCCAGTAAGATTCTTTCTGTGAAATCGTTGACTTTCTTTTACCACATAATCCATCATATCCCAGATATCTCACAAAATCATTTGTGCTATATCAGATTTATTCTTTTAACTGGGACCTATGATTCCACATTCTCAATCCCCTTTATAGCTATTTTTTATAATTGTCTGAGAAAAACAATTTTTATAAATTATATTGTCTAAATCTGGAGAATGTATCTCTCTGCTTCCAAATTCCAGAGTCTTTTCTATTACTTCTCTCAGCATGACATGTGGTTGCTGAATTTACCAACCTTGGAAAACGTTTTAACCTAACCAAGGGCAGAAATCTAAGTGTGTTATTTCTTTCTCTTTAGTTACACTCCTTTCTTCCATCTTCTTATATTTTCTGAATATTTAGTATTAGTGAGGAATCCCTTCAAATAATCTGACTTCTTTCTCAAAAAGTGTCCAAGTGCTTCTCAGGTGAGTTTGAATCAATTTAGTCACATCAACTGAATTATCATTTCTGCTACTGAATTTAGATATCTTTAGGACTAACTTTGATTTTCCTGGTAGCTTTCAGTATGTGGAAAAATGATAGGAATTCTATTTGGCAGTAAAGAGGCACTGAATTATATATGTAAATCAGAACTTAGTTAATATCCTCACACAAGAATTTTATGTGGGATCAGAATTAGCCAAGACATATTTTTGATATGGAAATAAAATTACATCTGTCATCTCATTTTCATTTGACAAGTATCAACAACTCAAAACAATAATATTTTGACAAGGATTTATTAGCGCTCAGAAATTCAGCTCATAAAGGATAAACACAGGGCTGTTTCTTTCTAGTTCTAAATATGGCAATTAAGCTAGTCAATTTGCAGTATAATTCCTCTGTCAAACAAATGCAAGGGCAAAGCAACCACTGACTTGGATGTCACTGAAACTATTTCTCGCTTTTAAAACATTTTGGAATCTTTCTGCAGTTTTTTAAAAAGAAATTCAATGGCTCATCTAATTAAAAAATAACTTCATGAAATATTTTCTTACAGATATATAAAATGAGACCATTTCTTCCAGCACTGGGATCCTACTTGTTCCACTACCAGTTTGGTGATCACATGTATGTATGCGTGCACCTAATGTGCATGCACCTTATGCGCATGTACAGCTTTCCACACACCAGCTGAGGCCTGAAGCGCCAATCAGCTGAGAGAATAAAGAAGAGAAAAGCTCAGGGGCAGGTGGGAGGGCTGATCCTGCGCTTTTCTCTCCTTTCTCCTCTCAGCTGATCTCGGAGGCTTTTTTTCCTCCTCTCAGCTGATTGTCGGCTTTTTTTGCTACCAGTTTGGCCAAACTGGGCCAAACTGGTAGAATACCGTTACTGATTTCTTCTTACAAAAAAAGACAAAAATCAGAAAAGGATTTCCAGATTTGAATTATAGATTAATATTTCTGATTACATGCTATGCTATTCTATGCTATGCCATGACATGAATGACATGTAACATAAAGGTAATTCAAGTATTTGAGAAAATAATTAAATTGGAATATATATCAAATGTCTTACTGCGGCTTGTCGGTGGGTATTGGAGAGTATTCCATGAATCTTCACCTTATCTTTTTCCATTTTATCAATGTTTACCCACAAATCTTGGCTGGAAGAATCAAATGGGCCATATATCCTTGAAGTGTAATAATTGTGATCCATGTCTTCCTGGGGGAGAAAAAGACGAACATAGATTTGAACTTATTTTTCAGTCCTTTTGAAATATTTAGAAACAGATGCAAAACTCTTATGTCTTTCATCACATAGATTAATAAATAACAAACAAAGAACTGAATGCTAGAAAAGAAGAACAAATACACTACATGTAGTTTTTATAGTCTAAAAGTCTGAATTAAGTGGAGCTACTTAGACAGAAAAATGTGGCCTTGGATTTAAAAAAAAGTAATTGGTAAATCTTAACTGAAACCTTCTGTTTTAATGTAGGCAACAGTTTTACCTTTCATATTTTAAATAACATTTAAATTGTGATATTTATTTACTTTTTATTTTTGTTTATTTGGTTTGTCAATTGCTTACAAAATAACAGGTATAAGTATAAACATAATTTGGAATATATGAGATGGATAGTAAAGAAAAATAAAAGAAACAATAGGACAGGGACGGTAGGCATGTTGGTGCGCTTATGCACGCCCCCTACAGACCTCTTAGGAAAGGGGTGAGGTCAACAGTAGAAAGTCTAAGGTTAAAGTTTTTGGGGTTTGGGGAAGAAACCACAGAGTCAGGTAGAGTATTCCAGACATTGACCACTCTGTTGCTGAAGTCGTATTTCCTGCAATCAAGTTTGGTGCGATTAACCTTGAGTTTGTATCTATTGTTTGCTCTTGTATTGTTATGGTTGAAGCTGAAGTATTTATTTGCAGGTAGGACATTGCAATGTATGGTTTTTTTTCCTATACTTTGGACCGAAGGCGGTGTAGTTCTAGGTTTTCTAGGTCTAGAATTTCAAGTCTGGTGGCATAAGATATTCTGCAACAAGTAGAGGAGTGGAGAACTCTTCTTGTGAAATATTTCTGGACTTTCTCAACTGTGTTAATATCAGATACGTAATGTGGGTTCCAGACTGATGAGCTGTATTCGAGTATTGGTCTAGCAAATGTTTTGTATGCTCTAGTTAGTAGTGTAATATTACCAGAGAAAAAGCTATGAAAGATTAGGTTAACAACTCTTAACAACTTCCGGTCCAATAGATAGATGGTTTTAGATTGCGTAGTGCTTTTTCAACATTGTCTTCTGTAAAATCGATATGTATTAGATCATTGTAGTTATCTGTGGTTTGACTAAGAAATACTGGGCTTGATCCATTGCTGTTTACTAATACTGAGCCAAAGAATGTGTTAAAAAGGTTTGTCTTTAATAATGTCGTCATTGCAGTCTTTACTATTAGGTCCTTTCAGGAGTGGGATAGATCTTGAGTCTTTTAGTTTGTTGTTTACAAAATTGTAGAAAGCGCAGGTGGAATTGTTGCGTAGATGTTGTTTAATGTTATAATTGGTGCATTTAGTCCTTATCTGGTGGCATAAATTTTTGTATTGGCTTTTGAAGTTGGTAACCTGACCAGATTTGTTTTTCTACCAAAGTGATTTCTTTTTGGATTCTTTTCCTTATTGTTATGGGTAATTTGTTTTTTCTGGTTTTGGGAGTTGTTATTGGTACATATAGTTTGATGACTCTTTTGACTTCAAGTAAAAGTATGTTGTAATGGTCTTCTACAGTATTGCATCCAGTGAATAGAAATTGCCAATCAAGGGATGAGAGATCACTGTTTATAAGATCATAGTTGCCTTTTTTGATGTTATAATTGGGGATTCTGTCGTTGTGATGATTTTTGTGTGGACGTATGTTAAGACAAAAGTCAACCATGTTGTGGTCACTGTTGGAAAAGGGTTCTTTAATTTGTATTCCGTAAATTGAATTCAAACTATTGCAGAAGATGAGATCGAGGCACTTGTTAAATCTAGTGTTGTTGGTTTCTAGTTGTTCTAGTCCCAGATTTGTTACTGCATTGTAGAAGGTTGCATGTGTGGGTTCAGTTGTACATTCGTTAAGGGTCCAGTTAATATAAGGTAGATTGAAGTCACCAAGAAAGATAAAAGCATGTGGACAGGATGCTGCCCATGTTAGTAGTGTATTTAGCTTGTTTGCATGTTTGATGTCATAATCAGGGTCTCTGTAACATGGTAAGAACCGAAATGTGATATTGAAGGACAGTTCACAGACAATGGTCTCAGGAATAGCAAGCTCTTGGGTAACTTGGATGGTTTTTAGATGTAGGGACTTTTTATAGAAAATAGCAACACCACCTCCTCTACGGATTTCACGATCTGATCGGTAAACATGATAGTCTATTACTGTAGTAATGGAGTCAGGGAGAGATGCGTTGAGCCATGTTTCATAGACAAATATAATGTCGAATTTAGCCGTACTTAGTAAGAGGAGAAATTCAGGTATTTTATTTACCAGGCTTCTTGCACTGAGTAGCTTGCATTTAAGGCCAGTTATGGTTGGAACAGAGGTAGTTAGGGGCATGTGTGCCTAGTTTTGAGTGATGTTGGATTGGATGGAGTGGGGTTGGATGCGGAGTTGTGGGTTGTGTGACTTTCTTTTGCTGCAATCAGCATGGTAGTCAATGTATACCTCCTTTTCTCCATTGTCTAGACTAGTGGTTCCCAAAGTGGGCGGTACCGTCCCCTGGGGGGCGGTGGGATGCCTTAGGGGGGCACTAAGAGGCAAAGGGGCCAGCAGGGGGGGCACTAAGAGGCGGCAGGGAACGTTCGAGGCACCGGTCCTGCAGGTTCACCCATTGACTGTAGCACTGCTCTGGAGCCGGAGCCTCCAATGCGGAAGCGGTGGCACTTTACGTGCTGCAGTGGCTGCATTCGACGTGCCGGCCCCCTTGGGGATGCTAAGAGGCAGCAGGGGAGCGTTTGAGGCGCTGGCCGGCCATGCAGGTTCACCCATTGACTGTAGCACCACTCCGGAGCCAGCGCCTCCAATGCAGAAGCGGTGACACGTTATGTGCTGCCGCGTTCGACTTGCCGCCCCCTGCCACCTCTTAGCATCCCCAAGGGGGCTGGCAGAGGGGCGCTAAGAGGCGGCAGGGGGGCATTCGAGGCGCCGGCCGGCCCTGCAGTTTCACCCACCGGAGTCGATGTTTCCTGACGTGCCTGCGGGGGCGGCACCTCGAATGCAGCGGTGGTGGCACGGCTTTGCTCTACTTTTCCAACGCTGCACTGCTGCCTGCCCTGGGCTTCCTCAATCCTGCCCTGTACTGGCTCCGGCCTTCCGGTTTGTCGGCTTCGCGAGCGGCAGGGATTCGCGATACTGCGCGATCCCTGCTGCGCTAGCCATTTTTGGTGCTCCGATCTGGACGGGTTTGGAGCTAAGGCTGCCCTGCAGGGGCGGCTGAAGATAGGGGGGATCCGGAGAGGGGTTTGGGGGTGTTGCAGACCCCCTCCCCGGCCGGCAGAACCCCCTTTTCCCAAGACGGTGCAGCGGCGGTCCGTAATGGCCGCCACAAAGAAGCCGGCAGCTGGGCAAGAATGCGCAGGAGGAAGTGGAGAAAGCCTTTGAAAGTGAAAGTTTTTCTTGGTTGACCCAGGACTCTAAGACATATTTAACATAATTCCTGGAAATTATGGCTTTTTGAATGATACTTTCCAGAAGAGAAAACAAGCGGCAATTTTGAGGTGCTGAAAGGAAAGTTTACTCTCCTTCCCTATGGAATCAACAAGTGGATACTGAGAAACCTGTCTTTTTCAGGTAAAAACTGGCTTTATGTGATAAGTGGGAAGGGAGAGGACAAAAAATATATTTATATGTTAAGATTTTGTTGGAGGAGATGCCTTAAGGATCTGAAGACTGAAATGTATTGCAATAAGGCTTTAAGATACAGATTTGGACTTTCTTTTTTTGATTGATACTACTCCAGGAAGAGAAAGTGAGAACTTTGTCTTGGCTTGGATTGATTGATGACTTTGGGATTGTTCTATTTTTTGAAATATCTTGGTTGTTGCAAGAAGAAAGAGGGGGGAAAAAAAGAAAAGAAAAGATTTATAATGGCTTTTTCTGTTGAGGAACTGAGAAAAGAATATGAGCAAACAAAAAAAGATGGCAAAGATGATGTAAAAGAAGCCTTCCTTTTTTTAGAAATGGCGCTTGCTACCTATCAACAAACACTACAACAGATGGAGGCAGCAGCAGAAGAAGAAGCCATCTTTAATGAATTTCAAAATTTAACTAAGAAAGAAGGAAGAAAGAAAGGATGGAAAATGAAGGACTTAAGATTTAAAAAAACACTCAAGAAAGAGAAAAATAAGGTGCAAAATCAATATAATGATAGTAAACAAAAGAAAAAAGGAACACAACAGAGAAGGGAAGCCAGTAAGGCAGAGGCTAAGAGAAGTGGGGGTAGAAAGGTCTGGTGGGAGAAGAAAGAAAGGGAAAAGGTGGAGAAAAGCCACAAAGTTTTGAAATCAGATGGGAAAAGAGGAATCTTTTTTAGGGACAAAGGGTAAAGTATAATTTCTTTAAAAAAGATTTTGCAAGGTACATAAGATGGTATTGTAGCATTTGTATTAGAAATAGAAAATTAGAATGGTTTAAGAGTTAATAAGAGATTAAAATGTTGAAATGTTTAGTAATGATTGATTTTAAAATTTAATAAAATATTAAAGGGAATGTTTAGAATATTGAGTTTTAATTAAAGAGTTTAATATGACTATGGTATTGATGTTATTATAAAATTATTATTGTAGCATTTGTCTTTGGAAAAGGCAATGGGAATGTTATAAGATTCAATATTTAGATCTATTATTTAACTATGTATTTAATCATTTTGGATTTATTATTTTTCTTTTATTAAAAAAAAAATTAGTAGACAGAATGTACCAAGCAGAATCAGATTGGGTATTAGGTGTTATTTTAAATGTTAATCTAATTAATTTAGGGGGAAGATAGAAAGGCATCATACTCTGATTAGTGATTTCAGGAGAAACTCTTTTTTTATTATAAGGAATGAGACAAAGGGATAATAAAGAATGGACAAAAGATACAAATATAATGACTCAAATTAATATGGATTAAATAAGATAGAATTAAGAAGAGTGAAATGTGTGGAGAAGCTAATATAGAAGACATAGAATGGTAAA